TAATGGCACTTTCACATTCCCTATCACCCACAATCATCAGGAAAGGTTGAACGAACTAACTGCACACTAAAAGATATCCTCACCAAACTCTCTCTGGAACTCCATCAGGACTGGGTCTCCCTCCTTCCCCTAGCACTCTTCCGCGTTCGCGTCCTCCCTAAAAAGCCCACTCAGCTTTCACCCTTTGAGGTCCTATATGGCAGACCTGTACTTCCTCCTGGTATTCCAATCTCTCCACCTCATGTCTCCCTTCATATAACCTACCCCCTCCTGTCCTTTATCCGTTCCAATATCGCAATATCAAGCTCTCCTTTTGCCTGTTCCCACAGAAACACATAATCCAAAGCCTTTCACCCTGGGACAATGGGTTTTCCTCTCAGACCCAGAAACCAAAACTCGCTTACAACCGAAATGGCAAGGACCTTCCAAATAGTCCTCTCCACCCCCACGGCAGCCAGGCTGCTCATAACCAAAGGACAGCTCAGTCCCTGGATTCACGCTTCTCGCCTCAAACCAGCTAAAGTGCCTCCCTTTACCCCTCCGACCTATTCTTGTTCCACAATTCCAGGCCAGCCTCTCAAACTTCGAGTATCCCGTGTTGCTCGCTCCCCCTCCCTGCCCGTCATCCAGGAAAACCCCACAGAATCACAAGATGCAAAGGCTGCCACCTGCACTCAACTACCCTCTGCCAAATGGTTGTCAATTTCGTTCTTCCCTTACTAATTGTACTGCCTTTCTTCCTACTCCTTCTTTTCCTCCTACTTTCACATTGCTGTACATAGTGCTGCTCCTTGGCGCGGGTTGCTCAGTCCCCTCCTCTGCTCACTATCAATAAGACCCAACATGATCATTGCCTTCCTCCTTGCCATTTTTTTCAAACCAAGCCCACTACCCTGTCCATCCTCCATTATCGGTTCACCATCCGTGAACTTTACACAGTCAGCGAGATAGAAACAGTCAAGGACTTAGACACAAAAACGTGCCCCATAAACAATTGCTCAAAACCTATTTCCCTCAACTTAAAACCCTCAGTAAGCTTGCAAGACGCTAATCACCCCTTTCTATGCTTACTAGAAGACCAAACCCAGGACTACTGTAAATGGTGGCCTGATCAATATGGTGGCTGTCCCTATTGGTCATGCAGAATTCACTATGCTGACGGATCCATCAGCAGAGCAAAATGGGGGGGGGGCAAGGTTCCTTGTCCGCCACTACATAGGAACTCCGGGGCGCAGAGGCCGCTTCTCCCACTTCTCTTTTGACATCCCTAACCCGACCACTAACTTCTAGAAAGACCTCATATATGTAGCTGTCTACCCAAAGGAATGGTACGCCCGTCCCACCGGGCGCCTATCCATCTCTTGCTCCACCTTTACCCCTTCCATCACAGTATCAGTGTTAGAGCACATAAAAACCCAAGAACAACAGCTCCTGGCAGCGGTAGACCCATTGCCCCCTTCCTCAGAAGATCACCTCTCCTTATAACCCTCCCAACACTTCCCTTCATGGTTTACCATAATAGGCCACACCCTCCGCTTCTTAAACCAATCCTTCCCTTCTCTTCTTTCTTCACAGTGTTTTCTTTGTGCCTCATTACAACGACCTTTGCTGGCTGCCGTTCTGCTTCCTGCTTTGCCCCACAGTAATAGTACCCTCAACTTGTCTTCCACCGGAGAGGCCATCACCAAACCTCACGTTCCACTTGGGGAAGTGGCATCCAACTCCTCTTACCTCTGTATTGATCCGCCCAGCGTCCCCACTTTCTATTCAGATAACTCTCTCTGTTCAACCACCATAAACTTTATAAATGGGCACTTCCTCCCGCCTGGCCTCTTCTTATGGTGCAATGGCACTCTCCTCTCCCAAACTTCCAATCTTACCTCTCCCTGTATAGTTGTTACGCTGATCCCACAGCTCTCTCTTTACTCCACTGCCGACCTCCAGGCCCTCTTAACTCCCAAACACCGATGCAAGAGAGCTGTCTTCCTTCCAGTCATGGTAGGATTGTCCCTAGTTTCCACAGTCACCTCCATAGGTCTATCAGGAGGGGCTCTCGGCTACTCACTATGGGCCATGGAAGACTTACAAAACAAAATCCAACTAGCTTTAGACACCACCTCTGATTCTCTCCAATCATTACAAAGACAAATAATGAGCATAGCACAAGTAGTCCTCCAAAATCATCAGGCTCTAGATCTCCTAACAGCCGAAAAGGTAGGCACTTGTCTTTTCCTCCAAGAGGAGTGCTGTTATTACATTAACGAGTCAGGAGTAATTGAACAAAACATTAATAAATTACAACACCTCTCCTCACAACTCCAAGGGACAAAGTCTTCACAAATCAGCAGCCTATTACAAAACTCCCTACTCACCTGGCTTTTGCCTGTCGTCACACCTGTCATTCTCATTTTCGGTCTGTGCTCCTTTCTCCCATGTATCATCAAATTTCTCCAGTCACAACTTTTAAAAATCTCTAATCAAAGCAATAATCAGCTTCTCCTACAGAATTATGACCTCCTGCCCACCGAAGATCCAGGTCTCGACTGTCCCAACCCTACAAACCTCTAACCTTGTCTTCTCATTTCAGACATGCTCACTTCAAAGTTTACCCCCTACTACCTACCACTCAGATTCTCAGCGTTTCTTGACCACCTTCTTCATGACAGCTGGCTCCTCCCTTCCTTGTGTCCACTCGACGACTGGCCGGACCAGCTTGCCGTTTTCCACTTACAAGGCACCTTCCAGGACTTCCACCCAAATGAAATGTTTTCTTTTGGCGCCTACTTGTGGGGTCTCATGTGGCTTGTCCTTTCACCCACTCACCCACCGACACCCATTTTCAGCAGGAAGTAACTGGACAGACAAACGCTGCCCCTCTCCCGCATAACCAAAGAGGTGGGAATGAAGGGCGACCGCCAAGCCACAAGTAAAGCCACATCCCCTCCCTTTCCTGGAAATGGGGACCCGGCAAACTAAAATGGCAATTGAGACAGTGCCTTCCTTTGTTTCTCCTCGGTGCCCTCCTTTGTTCTCCCTCCGCAGCCTTTCCCGCGCCCGCAAAAAATCCACCAACCTACATGAAGCTCTGCCAGCTGACCTATAGATGACAGACAGGTCGCCCTAAGCACCCATAAAGGCTGGAGCGCCCTTGCTTCAGCGCTACAGCCTGTCCCTCAGGTCCTGTAGCCACCGCGTTCGACCCATTAAATCTCTTGGCCTTAATGGATTTTGAGTCTCACTGTGCATCACCATCTTTCATTTCCAAAGGAATGGAATCTTCCGGATGAGTTTTCTGAATTGATTTTGGGTTTTGGGGATTTGTTTTCTAATGAAATTAGATTTCAAGGCATGAATCCCCTATTTTCAGTGGTAAAGAGGATGTGGTAAAAGAGATAGAAAATATTTCACCATTGGACACCCCACTTCCAGTACCAAAGTCTGAGCTCAATTTTACCTCATCTTCTCTCACCAAGTTCTTCCTTTGATATGGCTCCTTTGTCCAAAGGTCCTCTCTAAGACCAAGTTTGGACAAAGCTTTACTAATTCTGCACAGAGAGGCACTGAGTATAGTGGATTGGAGTATGCAACCCAAGGGTGGACAGCCTGGATCTGAATTCTGGCTCTGCCACTTAGAATTGGTGTGACCTTGGATAAGTCAGTGAACTTCACTAAGCCTCAGCTTCCCCATCTGTCAGATGCAGAGGATAATAATGTGTGTAGGGTTGTCATACAGGTGAAGAGGGTTCAACTTGCTCAGTGAATGTTGGGTACTGCTAAGGAAGAAGTGGCCCCTGGTGCAGACACACAAGTGCTATATGCATTCAGACAATAAGGTAAATGAATATCATGCCATAGATATTGAAGTCTTAAAAAAACATACAATTTTCTCTCTTCAGGTTTTTAACACCTGATGGTGGGTTTTGTGGCAGTTTTGCCAGAAATGCTGACTTAAAAATCAGCTTTGGGGTATAGAATTGCTCCAAACGACAGGCTTGGTCCCTGTTTCTGCTGATTTAATTTTTTTTTTTTCTGGTAGAAATGATCACCATGTAGATTATTCTGTCAAAGATTTTATGTTCACAATAGATGTTTCCATTTCAGTCATCCTTTGGAAAAATCAGGGCAGGCAAAATGGCCATGACCAAGCCTGCAAAGAACATGAAGTAATCAAAGCTTGGGGCTGTGTTTCCTAATGTGGGTTCTGCGGAACACATTTATAGTTGTTACTGGACAATAGGTCCTTCTGAGCAAAGAGCCTCATGGTCAAATAAGCCTGGGGCATGTAGGATTACCAAAATTAAACCTGTCTCTCTCTGAAAGGACTTCTAGCTTTTCACATGCTAACAGAGATGGTGAATTTTTCAGAGGGGGCCATATTACACAGCATCTCTCCAAGCTAGTTTGGCCTTGAAAACCTACTCTTTGGCAAGCATGGGGTAGGCGCACCCATCTGTGGCAGAGAGGCTGGGAAAGGCTGTCTTGGTAAGTAAAAGGCACTGGTTCTTCTCTGGCTAGAAGACTCTGGGCTTCTCAAATCCTCCCCCTGCAGAAAAGAGAATCAGATCAGAGGAAAATCTCCTGGCCTTGTCTCTGTGAGGCTCCCACTTAATGTAAGCCTTGAAGGTAAAACTGACAGCTGTCAGGGCCAGGCAAACACACAAGACAAGGGGATGATATGACAGTCTGAGATGCAATTTTGTAATCCCTTTTGTGAGACATATAAAACTTATTCAGATGCATAAACATTTTTATTCACTTTATAAGCTATTTGATCAATCCCGAAAGTCAATTCAGGTGCTGTTATTTATACTTGGTATAATACATAAACAGTGAGATGCATGAGATGTCAAATAATAGTCATAATTACTGTAATTATGATCCTTGCAGTCATGGTGTGCACAAAAAGCACAGGATCTGCCACATCTGAGGATTAAATATTAATTACTTAGATGTTAACAGATTCAAATCAAACTTCAGCTCACAATCTTAGTATTTAATTCCTCACTTCTGGAATCTTTAGAGATGCAATTATATAGTGGATTAAATTTCAAACTAATCTAATATAGATCTATTCCCCTTAGAGTGCTATTCAAAACATGACTTTAATATTTATTTTATGATATGTTAAAAACACCTGGAGTTAGTCACATTTTTCTCTGCGGCATTTACTTTCAAATATACTTTCTTTGTCTTAATATGATTTTGCAGAAATATGGGTCTCTCCCAGAACTGTAAAATTCCTGCTACAGGAATTCTTCCCTATAAGCTGGGTATCTAATCACCACTGAATGGATGGGTGGATAAATGAATGAATTAATTTATTTTAAAAGCTGACTTTGGAAAATGGTAAAATGCAATTAATTTCAGAATACTTTTTGTGGAAATACACAGTTTAATAAAAAGGAGTTTTGATCTCTCCAGATGTTTTCTCTGGTGTTAAAACAATACAAGATACATCATCGTTAAGCAATGTTGCTTATTCCAGGAAATAAGTCTTGATGCATTTTTAATATCCAAAGGATTCAAGTCAGGCTATTAATTTTCTGGTCTCAGACTATGTAACCCTTTTCCTAACTGGATGAAGAATTTGTTTTGCCTGTAGGCAAAGAGTAATAATGTGTTGGTAGGACTTCAAGTCTGGACTATCGTGAAATATTCAACAAAGTATAAAGAACAGAAGTAAATCACAGAGATTAAAGCTCCTTCTAGTGCTTGTAGTTGGTCCATGAAAGTAGAGGTAGTTGAGTATGGTGAGTATGGTGAAGTAGGGAGATAAATGGTGTAGGAGGCGGGTACCAAGTATGATAGACCTGAGAAGGCAATCTAATGAGAGAAGCCCATTGCCAAAGGCTGGGGGAGGGTAGGCATTCACAGAACAGGTAGGAAGTGACAGAGCTAGGGCAGAAATTAGGTCCTTGAGAATAGAATTCAGGACCATAACATGTAAGGAACAGGCATCTAAATAGGTGGGGCATTATGACTGACGGCCTGGTCAACCCATAAAAGTTCATGTTCTGAAGAAGTACAGGGTCTTCTGGGGCAGAACAGACAAGTAAATAAATAGAGGTTCAATTTGAGATATGCCCATGAGGGTGAGCTGAAGGGGATGCGGCTGTGGGTTAAAAGAGGCAGGAGACTTTCCTGGTGGAGGGAACAGTAGACAGACACAACAGCACTATGTGGCTGGAGTGGGCTGACTGGTCGCATTTGTTTTCTAGGAGGATCTTGTAGCCACAGTGTTGATGATAAGCAGCAGGGCTGAGACAGACTCATCAAGAGCCTGCTGACACAGTCCAAGCAAGAGATGACGGAAGCCTGGGCTAATGCGATGGCAATGGGAATATAAAAGAAGGGTCAAGTTCCAGAGACTGTAAACATCCAACAGGATGGGGGCTGGGAGTGAGGAATTAGGGTGGAGGAGAAGTCATGCGTAGCTCAGTTTTCCAACATGGGAGGCTGACATAGAACACATAAGGGAGCAGAGAGTTTGAGGGGAGAAGATAGTTCAGTTTTGATATGTGACATTTGAGGGAACTATAGGACATCCAGGCAGGAATGGGTAATAAGTGGGCGGACAAGGACAGAGACCTGGAGTTCAGAAGAGGCCTGGGAAGGAGAGATAGGTTTGCATTTGGAAGTCTTGATAAAGGATGCTGGTGAGTGGGCAATGGGGTCATTTTAGAAGAGCTCAGAAGAGTGTGTGCCATAAATCCAACAGAGGAGGCCTGGGGTAGATTAGTCAGAGAGGAAGAAGAGACACAGGGAAAACATACTGAGAAAGCAAGGAAGACAGAGGTTCCAGGAAAAGATGATGGGCCTCAGAGCAAATGCTGCAAAAGGTTCTAAAGAAATCAGGACCAAAAAAAAAGCAATTCTGTTTGGCAATTTGTGGAGAGTGATTTACTAGATTGGGATGAGTGAGGGGTGAATGGGAACTGAGGAAGTGGACAGGGCCAGCGAAGGTAGATTATTTTAAGACATTTTTGGTAGTGAATGGAAGAAGGAAAATAAGAGTTTTTAAAGGGTATGAGAAATGTTTCTTTTTTCTTTTATAAAACAGAGAAACCTAAGTAACTTTGAAGGGCAAGAGAAAGGAGTAGAGAAGAAGACTTCAAAGAGAAAAAAAATTTACAGATCGTTTAAAAGAAAAGATCTGTAAATATTTGTGTTTTAGAATACATATCAGAAATGGTAAGATACAGAGAATTCTTGTCACATAGACCAGGAGCTGCTACTGTAAATATGTCCCTGGAAATGCCAATGTTACACTTCAATACTAGGTATATAAAGTAAGATCACACTATTTTACCCGTTTTAATGGCAGAGGACTAGACCAGAAATCTTTTGGGATCACTTCTAATCCTAAACATGTATAATTCTGTGGGCTTTGGTTCTTTTTATTGATTTCACAAGTATTTAACCAAACCAGTTTTTGGTTAAATGCTCAGTTTGACTATCCCAGTTTTCTTCTTACTGCCTGCCCTTCCTAGAATATTACTCTACCCCCTTCTGCAACAAATGACATATCAATCATTTTAATCATGTTCTTTCTTTATACCCTGATACAGCCAGTGCATCAAGCAAAATATCCCAATTAATGATTGTATCATCTCATTTCATTCTTTCTTTTACACATCTCTCAGTATTGTACCACTGCTGTCTGCTCCTCTCAGACAATTGATGGCATTGATTTCAACAATAATTTTTTTTTTTTGAGTCGGAATCTCACTCTGTTGCCCAGGCTGAAGAGCAGTGGCATGCTCACAGCCACCACAGCCTCGACCTGCTGGGCCCGCCTCAGGCTTCCAAGTAACTGGAACTACAGGCATGAGCCACCACACTGGAGTAATTTTTTTATTTATTGTAGAGACGAGGTCTCACCAAGTTGCCCAGGTTGGTCTTGAACCCCTGGACTCAGGCAATTTTCTCTCCTCTGCCTCTCAGAGTGCTGGGATTATAGGCATGAGCAAGGCGGGATTACCGCATCTGGCAAGACTATTTTTTTTTTAAGAGAATAGCCATCTTGAATACAATTCAGTGATGCAAAATGTGTACTTACATATTGCCCCTTGACTTTGGAAGAGAGTGTTTTGTTTTGTTTTACCTTGAATAGTCCTAAAACATGTTACTCTGAAATGTGCCAGATTAAACTTTGTAGAAATTGTTCCAGTGACGTCACCCCCAGGGACAGGACACCTGGCAAACTAAGGGTGCCTCTATCGAGGACTTAGCATTTCAGATACTTTGGTATTGGTCAAATATATTTACATTTTAATAAGGTATTGGTGCTGAAAAGAAAAGATTATATTAGTTCTTTAACATCTGCATATACCAGTGGCTTAGATAATATAGTTTCAGAGATTAAAATATTTAGAATTCTTACCACATAGACCAGGAACTGCCAGCCAACAAAGTAATACTGTATTGTTCTTGCTGAGACTGCCTGAGTTATATTTGGAGCAAAGTTCACCAATAAATATGTTCCTGCAAATGCCAGTGTCATACCTATAAATGAAATTGAAAAGAAAAACCAAGATGAAAGAGGCACAACTTAAAGCTTTTTGTTGATGCAGATGTTACCCAGGAACAGGGCATTACTTGTAAAAGTGCCAGTAGCTCCTCCCTATTAAAATGCAACTCATCAAACCATCCCTTGAGCGCATCACACATTTACCTGAAGACATTACCTTTGAAGGGGAATAAAGCCAGGGGATAAATGGGGCAGGATGCAACTTCTCACTTTTCTCCCTTGTTCTAGGTGAATACTGGCCTCTTCAGGGAAGCTCTCCCCAAAGACGGGGAAGATCAGAGCATGGGCACATGGAGAATAAAAGCTGGCTCTTCCAATGGGGGCCAGTAAGTACATGATCAATCTAGCTAGATCTGTCTAGATCCATCTAGATCTAGATTGCAGAGCCCAGAGGACAGGAAGCCCAGCCATCACATGATGATCTGCTCTGCACTTAAGCATCTTTGAAAACTTTACACACACTTGGTTGATTTAACACTTTGAAACTCTGGTAATGTGCACCTTAATCACTGCCATTTATTAGAGTTCTGTTAGCAGAAATAACACAGGTGAATGCCATCTTTTCTGTCAGATTTTAATTAATCCAATCTAGAATCTAGAATTCCAAGGTTAGCTTAGTAAAAAAATCACATTCTAAACCTGTGTAAGGAAGTGACTGTCATCATTTTGTCATTACTTGAAACGACAGAAGAAGGCAATGTGTGTTGGAGGGATGACCAAGGAAGGAGGGATGAGGGGAAGATCTGCCCTTCACATTACATTGAAAACTGCTTGTTTATATCTTATTAGCCATCTGAGAAAAACTGATATATGTAGCATTCTTCAGATAGCACACTTGGAAACAGAATTCAGCTTGGTTCATCACTGAGGCCAGTACTATTGTGGATCTAGTTCACATCCAGAATTGACTACACCTGAAGCAATTTGGTTTGTCTATAAAATCTTGCAATTTGAAGGCACCAATTTCCTACTCTTCTTAACCAATTGAGTTAGGTTTTGAACCCCAGTTTCTGAGAACAAACAACATTTAGTTTTTCACATAAGATAGACAACAGCTATTCAGGGTTTTGTAGAATCTACAAGTAAGTTTCCTCTAATTAAACAATTTATTCTGCAATACTTTGTGAAGACAGAAATTATATGCATTATTTTAAAAGCTACTTCTAATGAGAGCTTTATAAATAAAAATAATATACATTATCAAACATTGTAATAAAATCAAAATAATAAAACTATATGTAAGAACTTGGAGGAAAATTATTGGTTAGACATGTCCTTGCTTTGAAAAATAAAAGGATTATATGAGATAATTGTTTGAAATTAGTTTCCTAGAAGGAAGGGATTTTTTTAAAAACTGTTTTCTAAACTTGGTATAGTAAAGTAGCATACATTCATTGACTACACGTTAAAAAATCTCAGAGACTTCCTTCCAACTGTTTCTTTTGTGAAGTCCAGATTTCTTAGTTATCTTAAGGACCTCTACCAGGTATATCTTTACCTTTAAAAACAGTATTTAGTGTCAATTAACTTTCTTGTGTTTAAACTTAGTTTTGAGTTGATAAACTTAGTTTTGAGTGTATATGGCAAAATTCTGACAATACACAAGGGGGAAACAGCGAAAAGTTAAGTCTCTCTTACACCCTGATGGTCTGCTAGTCCTCCTCCCTAAAGTTAACCTCCATCACTAGATCCTGAGGTTTCCTTTCCAGGGATGTTTTATGCTTCTGTGTGTGTGTGTGTGTGTGTGTGTGTGTGAGAGAGAGAGAGAGAGAGAGAGAGAGAGACGAGTTTTATTTCCCACATAAATAATAGCATATTATACACACTTTTCTGCATCTTGCTTTTTTCTACTTAAAATAACATTTTTTTTTTTGAGCTGGGGTCTCATTCTGTTGCCCAGGCTGGAATACAGTGGCATGATCATGGCTCACCACAGCCTCAACCTCCTGGATTCAAGTGATCCTTCCATCTCAGTCTCCCAGGTAGCTGGGACTACAGGTGCGTGTCACCACACTTGGCTAATTTTTTTATTTTTTGTAGAGATGAGGTCTTGCTATGTTGCCTAGGTTACTCTCAAACTCCTGGGCTCAAGCAATTCTCCCACCTTGGCCTCCTAAAGTATTGGGATTACAGATGTGAGCCACCACGCCTGGTCAAAAGAACATTTTGGAGGACATTTCACATCAGTGTATATAGAGTGGCTTCATTCTTTTGACATCTGCTAGTATTCCATTACATAGAGGTGGTATTATTTATTCAACAACTTTCTAGTATTGTCCTTGCTTCATATCTATGTCCACATTTGCTTTCCATGTCCCACCCCTTACCACTGTATATCTTTATTACATTTCTAAACTCTTTAAGAACAAATAAAAATGTCTGAAGATTTTGCAGTTAGACTTCCTGAGTCCCCTTCATGTATATTATTTCATATGGGCCTCCCATCACTATGAGTCTGGTAAGTAACTCTATGGTAGCTCAGTTAGGTCACACATTCTTTCTTCTGAATCATTTTAACCTCAGTTACCTCCAACAATTACAAAGGCAGTTCCGAATGTATGTTTATTTGTTTGGTGTCATCAATATTTTTTAACATATAATAACTTAACTGTGTTCTTTATGAGTAGTGTGCACATTTTTCCTAAGTTTTTAAAAGTGAAGACAGTCATTTGCACTCCCTTAAATATATTTCTTTAAAATTTATTTATAGGCCACCTTTTTCTAACAGTGGCATGAGACATCAGTGCCTGCTATTTTTATTTTGGTAAAGCCGCAAATACTCCTTCCTCTTGAAAGACACAGATTTCTGACTTTGGAAACTTTGTCTTCTGCTGGCCCATTTGCCCAAAGGAGGAATCTGAACATGTCAGATCTTAAAGGAAGTGGGGTAGCACTGACACGCTTCTCCCCAGGGAAATGGGTACACTGGGTCAAGAATGGGATCCCAGTAGTCTAGTCCAAGCTGAAACTTCCCCCACAAAATTTCACTGCTGCTTTCTAGCCAGAAGAGCTCAAGACAAGTTATCTATCCTGCTGGGACCCAGTCTTCTCATCTGTAGGTACAAATTACATCCTCATACCTGCTAGACCTCAGGAATCTGACTCTGCAAGAGGTTAGTCTGGGGGGCGGAATATGCCTGAAAGGTCACTGAGGGCCTTAAGTGCCGGAGGACCCTGGAGGAATTCATCCTAGGATGTTAACTGCCGGCCATGAGTCAATGGTCATCTGAGTTAAACTTAAAAGTTAATCCAAAATTGGATCTCGAATTTTACAGCCTGGGGATGATCAGGACTGTTATTGGGGCTGTCTCTAAGGAGATAAGTCAATTTGAGAGTGTAAGGGATTAGCTGGTATCTTTTGCATGCTTGTGAAGAATTCTCCTCACTGGTCTTAAAAGAAAACAGAAGGAAGAAAATGACATAACTAACCAACAGAACAAAGAAGGAAAAAGAATAGTACTGTGTTTTCTACCCATAGCTAACCTCAGGGAACTGATGCACAAAGCCCCAGATGTAGACATCGGAGGGGACCAAAAACAGCAGTTGGGCAGCTGTAGGTACTGCTGGTATGAGCCAATGTCTGGATGCTGGACACGACGACACAGGGATGAGGCCCCCTCCTCCACTCTCACTACCAAACCTGCAGCAAATACACTTTCTCTTCAAATACAACTCAAGTCACTTAAAAATCTACAGTATCTGGTGGAAATCTCAAAAAATATGCATAAAATATCTTCCTATAAACTTGCCATATGTGCAAAACAGGTAAACAAGCTAATCCCTGCTCTTTATAGTAGATAGACCAGGTATAACTGGATAAGCATAAATCAAAGGAGGATCATATTTTTTTTTTTTTTGAATTGGAGTCTCACTCCATCGCCCAGGCTGGAGTGCGGTGGCATGCTCATGGCCACCCCAGCATTGACCTGCTGGGCTCTGGCAATCCTTCCACCTCAGCCTTCCAAGTAGCTGGAACTACAGGTGCGTGCTACCACGCCCAGTTAATTTTTTAAAAATTTATTTATTGTAGAGACAAGGTCTCACCAAGTTGCCCAGGCTGGTCTCAAACCCACGGGCTCAGGCAACCCACTTGCCTCGGCCTCCCAAAGTGCTGGGATTACAGGCTAAGCCACTGAGCCTGGCCAGAGGATCATAATTTTTTTAAGGCAACATTTAAAAAAAAAATGTTTTATTTTAAAGATGTGAGGTACAATTCATGGTTAAGTATACAAATGTTCATTATGCAGATTCCCTTGTTGATGAGGTGTGCTCCCCACTCCCCTAGCAGTTTCCCACTACTAAGGTGACATTCTTAAATTTTTTTTTTTTTTTGAGTTGGAGTCTCACTCTGTCGCCCAGACTGGAGTGCAGTGGCAGCTCCCAGCCACCGCAGCCTTGACCTGCTGGACTCCGGCGATCCTTCCGCCTCAGCCTTTCGAGTAGCCGGAATTACGGGCACACGCTACCACGCCCGGCTGATTTTTTGTTATTTATTGTAGAGAAGAGGTCTCGCTGCCCAGGCGGGTCTCAAATCCACGGGCTCAGGCAATCCACTCACCTCAGCCTCCCAAAGGCAGACAAGTATGGATGACATGAGAGTTATAGTATGATCAGCATCATACCAAAACCTGATGATAACTATAATAGTAATAGCTAACATTTATAGGCACAATCCTAAATGTTTTATACATAACTAATTTAATCCTTACAACAAATCTGTGAAAAATGATTTACTATTGTGTTATTACACTACTATAACATATACTATATATGTTATATAGTATTTACTATATAATATACATTAAATACAATGTATACTCTTAAACCATTACTATGTACATTCGACAAGAGTAGGAAACTGAGTCACAGAGGAAATAACTATCTCTCCTGGGATTTTCCAGCTAATAAGAAGAGAAGCTGTATTGGAACCTAGGTAGTCTATTTTCTTTTTTCTTTTTTTGAGTTGGAGTCTCAC